CCTGGGACATCTGCCAGGTAATGAAGGTCATATGTGAAGTTAAATACAACTTCACATCCTCGTCTCCTCTCCTGCTTCCCTCCTCCCTCTTCTCTCCTTCCCAAGGACTTGGGGTGCCCAAACAGTGGGGAGACTGGGCTGAATTCCACTTCCCCAAAACAACTTGTCCTGAGAATGTTACTTCTAAGTAGAGGCCTTAACACCCACTCCCGTATTCTTTCTCTCAGCGTTACCAGCATTCCTCTCCATCGCTGGGGTCAGGATGCATTTTATGAAAACTGAGGCGAGGGATGGGGGCAGTGTCAGTTCTTGGAAGTGTCCATGGCAATAACTGACTTGGTGAAATCGTGAGCTGACCACATCCCCCCTGCACCTCACTGTCCCTGGAACTTGGGGACATGATAGGGTCCTAAGCAGACTGCTAGGTCCTGCTATGTGTCCTATGCCTGAGACACGAGAAGCCCTGTCATGCTCACTCTGCCCCAGGCTGGGTCTATTATTGGACCGAATGGTTTCTGGTTTTAAACAACTGGGTGCATCTCAAGGTTGCCTTGCAGGGCCGCACAAACTGGTGTGGAATGTGTTCTCGGAGACACCCCCACCCCTCACCCCCGCTTTGGGGGTAATCCTTTCACCTGCATAATTGGCAGCTGGCTGTGGCCAAGTCTGGGGTGGAGCTGACCCCACTGGTGGATGGAGGGGAGCCAAGGGGGGCCCTGTCACACACAAAGCGCTCCTCCAAGTCCCTCCTCCACACTGCCCCAGCAGCAACACAAGGCAGTGACCAGGGAACAAAGTGACTTTATTTTTGTGGTTTTTCTTTTTTTTTTTTAAACAAACAATCAAAAAATATATGTTGATTTTTAAATTACAAAAAAGAGGCAATCATTTTATGCTAGGACATGTCACACTGTAAAAAATGAGTTTGTGAAAGAAAAAAAACATAAAACACCTCAGCCTGACTCAGTTGTCACAATGGTCTAGGTCACCTTTAAAAGAAAAGGCCTAATCTTGTCTGTCATGCTTCAAGAAGAGTCTCTGTTCTAGAACTTTCCACTTGACATTCTTCTAATATGCAATTTCTTTGAAGCCTCCTTCCACATGCCCCCTTCCCTCTTTTTCTATTGCTGTTAAGTCATTCCTTGAACCTATATGTACAGGTCCAAACACACCAAAGCTTCCAATAAAATAGTCTCCTCTGTCCTGGCAACTCATAACCCTTGCCTCCTTCAAAGTCGACCTCAGAACTCTTCTCTTCCAAGAAGTACCCCCTCCAGTTTCTTCCTGCTCCAATTCTCTACCACAAGAACACATTTTGTGGGCCACCGGACTGGGGTCTAGCCCTGCTTCTGCTGTCTACTTGACATTCCAGTCTTAGGTGACTTCTTAGGTCTAAATTCCCACTTCTTCATCTTTAAAAGGCTGTGGCTAGTTGCAAACAGGCCATGACAAATGAAAATGTTAAGAGGTGCAAATGGGATTGGTCTGGGGCCTCTGGGCACTGCTTCCCTTGTTCGAACCCTCTCCCACTCGCAGACATTGGCACTGTGATCCTGCTGTTTTCTTGCCAGCGTTTGGAGTTCACCATGTGCAATGCAGGTCCCTGAGGGCAGGGCTGGCTCTGCCAAAACTATTTTGTTAGCTTGTCTTGCCCATAGCACCGTTCGGACTGAGCACACTGGAGGTGCTCAAAGTCTATTATTGCTTCGATTCAAATGTCGTTGGAAGGGACCACTATCCCATGTGATGACTGCTGATGCTGGAAAAACTCACACCTCCTGGTCCAACCCTCTGGACCAACCGCACAGTGGGATGATGGCCTTAGTGGCCTGGCCTGACGTTTGAGATCACCCAGCAGAGCTGGTCCAAGTCTCCTTCCCATTGGACATCTGTTTCCACTGGTTCAAAACCCTTCAAGAAGGTGGAGGAGACACAGCCTTGTTTTGGATGAGACAATCAGATGAGGGCTATTAATGTGGGGAGCAAACATCAATAAAAATATGTCAGTCTATCCCCAACATGACCATTCAGAGGGCCGCATCAAGGATCTAGCTCTGGGGACCACTGTCTTGAATGAATGGGGGACCCTCATTCCCTGATAAGAAAGACCATGTCCACTTGCTGGCAGTCAGAGAAGGCCAGAGCTCACCCCAGATCCCAGCAGCCTCTGCTTCAGCCCTGCCCTTCCAGGACACCTGACAAAAAGCCCCACCCCCTTGGAAGAGAAGAGTCACATCCTCGGTGATTTCCATGGAAACTACTCTCCTGAATCGCTGCACAAGACGATACACTGACCGCCCTCTGTCCCAAGAGCACATCACATAAATGTATTCAGAAGACACATCCTCTGTCTCGTGCATTTTAAAGCTCACATTTTAAAATGCCTTTTTAAAAAAATACTCTGGCCTTGAAAATCTGCCCAAGGCAATGCCATTGCAAACACTTGAAGATTAGTCACAGCAGGGACAAAGCCAGTTCCAGGGCCATTGGCTGGAGTACCACCTTGCCTGGCTCTGGCTTTGGAGGGACCATTCCTCATGTTACTCAACACGTGTTTGTCTCTGCCAGGCCCACCGAAGGGCTGGGAGCCAACACCCAAGAGCATCCCAAACCCTGACCTTGGCCTTAACTAGACTACAGTGCAGAGTAAATAAACACGTGTTTCCAGCTTGTGTTGATTGAGGGTTTCTGGCTGGGTGGGTGTCCCGAGGGTGCTGCCTGGAATGTTCAAGTGGAACCTTGCTTCAATTGCCCAGAGGCTCTGGGCCCCCTGGGGCTGTCCCCTGGGTCACACTGGAGCAGGCAGTGAGAGAAGAGATGGGCCAGGAAGGTGGACCAGGATAACTCCTGCAGCTGGCTGAAGCCTTGTGAGGATCACCGACAGAGCTCATCATCTGCTGGTGGACCTCTTCCCAGTGAGCATAGCGTCGTGTGTACACATAGCTTTGACTTCAAGCAACATGCCTTGAGTCCTTTGTTAGGGTAGTTTGAAGGAGTAAGAGAAAATGGATTAGAGTCCTACATCAAGGAGGTCCACACACACTCTTCCTGGAGACCCCTGGGAGCTGAGGCTTCTCCCCTCGATGCCGACCCTTGAAGGAAGAGCTGGAAGCACGTCAGCAACGGAGGCTGAGGTCCAGCTGCTGTTGTATATCTTGCAGAGACTTCTGTACCCGGCGCAGGGTCACTACCGCGAGGGTGTGGTTTGAGACTTTCAGGATATCGCTGAGATTCATGATGGTCCCCCGGCCACTGGCTTTGAGGACGGGGCAGCCCCTGGATTCCGCCATCGCGTGGATCAGGTTTCGGAGGTCGCCCAGGTCATTTATTATTTGGGTCATATCTATTGTAACCAGGCTGCTGAGGACCTTCTGGTAGATCACCAAGGCCTCGTCCATCTTTAACAGGCTACTGACAGACTGGAGCGTAGGAATGAAGTCAAAGTTGGAGATCTGGCTGGAGGGGACAGTTTGCTGTACGGGAGGGAGAGAGAGGGCAGAACTCAGCAAGGAGGGGAGAGGTCCACTCCGCAGGCCCTCGGGCCTTCCCACCCTCCTGGTGGCCCCTTCCCCCGGCCCCACTGTCCTCAACTCTGGTCTCCTGGGCCCTGGGGATGGCTGAATCTCACTTTGGTTGGCCTCCTGGATGCCTTTCCCAAACACCCTGCCCTTCCTTCACTCCTGGGCCAACGATCTGATCCTCCCCCTCCAAGTGGCCACCACTTGTTTCTCATTTAGGTTTGAGTCAGCTCTGTGTTACAGAGTAGACCCGTTCCATAGGATTTTCTTGCCTATAATCTTAACAGAAGCAATTAAACCAGCTCTTCCTTCTTTCATGGTGCCTTTACGCTTGTAGCTAAGGCCAAACTGCACCACTCAATCCAATATCGTAGCAACTCTGTAGGACAGAATAGGGAGCTAGATGTCCTTCAGGAGATAGATCTGTGTCCAGCCCCACTGGAAGTCAATGCCGGGTGGGGCTATTGGACACTTAGAGCCCCGGGATCCCCTCGTTCGTCCCTACCATGAACGAAAGCTCATCGATCCTGTTGACGATGGTACTGATGAGGGCTCTGGTGTCTTCCTGGACCGTCCAGATGGGCGTGGCATGGTTGTAGGACAGAAAGGGCCAAAGCCACAGCAACTGGCATAGGATTCCACACCGCATTTTTTCCCACGTTGAGCTTTGCAAGCCTGGAGGCAGAAGGAAGCACACGTTGCAAAGGGCTGGCATCTCAGGTAGTGGGGTGGGAAGGTGCTGTCCCTCCCTTGGGTTCACTTAGTAACTGCCTTGAGCAGCCTCTCATGGGCGCTCTGCCCCTGCCAGGGACTGGCCATTTGAAAAGAGGCTCTGGTTACCTCAGTGCTGCAGAACTGACAGATAGATGCCCACGGCTCTAGAGGCTGAATCTTTGACGTGGTGGGAAAACGTTGGGAAGTTGTTCACTCCGTAAGCACGGGCTTACTTTTACTTGGGTAACATGGCACTGCTCAGCAAGCACGTGCCCAGATGTGGTAATAGAAAGCCCATTCTGTCCTGATGACCTTTTCAATTCGTTATCTAGAACCAGGTCTGTGAAATGCTTTCCCTCGGGAAGACGCCAGGCCTGGCCAATACCACCACAGGAGGGATCCCGGACCACAGAGCAGTAAGCTGAGGCCAGGTCAGGGGGAAGTTGTGCTCGCTGTGTGGATTTGACTTTGAAGTTCAAGGAAAAGAGGCTGTTAACTACCTGGTTTGAAGGCAGTCGTTTCCCAGCTGCGTGATGGTGACTGTATCATATATCACTAACTACTCCATCTCAGCCCCCGTAATATACCCATCTCCTGGCTTTTATGAGCTCCAAATTGGATAATGTACGTGAAAGTGCTTAAAAGGGTGTCTAGGAATGTACCCAATTATGACCTTATTATCAGAGATTATGGAGCTTGGCCTTTTCATTCCTCTTGGCTGCAGCTGCCAAGATAACATTCAGAATTTGCCTTACTGTTCCCTTTCGGTCCCATGGGGAGCCATGTGAACCCAGCCAGCACTTAAGGAAGGTCCAAGGACATGCCATACACAATGACAGACACCAAGGATCTCCAAGTGAACAGCACTGCTGTTGTGTACCATTGAGTCAGAACTGACTCCAACAGGTTTTCAAAAGGCAGTTAATTGTACAGGAGGAGATTGTCCATTTTTCTTCTGCAGAGCAGCTTGTGGATTTGAACCTTGTACCTTGGTGTTGGCAGCACAATTTCTTACCACTAACCCAGCAGAGCTCCCCAGTGAACAACAGTATGAATAGTCTAATAGGAGAGGCAAGTAAATGGGCAATTCCAATACAAGAATGGAGAGGTTTGCTAGAATTATGAGGCATCAGGGGGCTCCGTGGAGGAGGTGTTGCCTGAGTTGG